GTCACCATTGTCAACGATATTTTCAACCTGCTGTTCAGAAATTGTTATTCCAGGACCAATCCCAGATTAGGATGAACTGATTAAGGATCCAAGACTCTTTGTTGGTGATTTATTTTCCGATATACCAGAGTTTTGAGGATTAATATTTCTCCCTCCATTTATTATTATTATTATTGGGATTGGACAAAAACGTTTAGAATCATGGTTGAATTTTTAAGTGTATGATATTTGTATCCTGTTTTGCTCTGGAATTGAAGGAACTCCTAATTAACGAAAATAAACGAAGATGGTGGTTGAGAAAAGATTGGACTTTCCTCTCAAGTTAAGGGCACAAGGGCCCAGTATTGGTGTGGCTGTCAGCAGGCTAATGAATGCCACAGGTTCCATTCCATGAGCTTTATCTCAATCTACAATGCAATTACTATTGGAAGTGCCTTCTTTTCGCTTGCTGGAGTAGCTCTAGTGGCCTGGTGGTTTTTCTTTCCATTGGAAAGTCCTTGGAAGAGATAGAGAAAGTCTTCAGCAGGAACACAAGGCCTAAAAACCAAGGCTTAGAAATTCAGCCAACAAGTAATAATGTTTGGTATAGGATTTAGTATTGTTGACAGTGATATTTAAACAATAACTGGCAATTTTCTTCATAAACTTCTGTAAGCTGGTAACAGGAAAGAAACCATGAACCAGGTACAAAGGAATAACACATAAAAGTAATGCTGGAAAAACAGGAGAAGAGAAACTATATATTTCTTCTGGATATTTCCCATTTCCACTATACTAATTGTAATCGATGCAACTTTCCTTGGATCGAGCTGCTCTTTTGGAAATTTCTTCCAAATTCTTGATTTTGAAGATTGATAGAGCGTTCTAAGAAGGTCTCAAACTATGCATTCTGAACTTTCCTCCACAAAAATAGTCCATGCAAACGATGTAAGCTCGTCAAACAATCTGAATCAGCTCAAGATAATAATCTTGCCCACACGATTCCTACAAGCAAGGAGACCCTTTAGGCAAATTTCTTGCTTTCATTTTCCCCATGTTTTTCCTTTTTTCACTCTCAGGAAAAACATCCAGGTGAAGAAAGGGTACTGATTTCTTCATTGTCTATCTTCATTATTTGTTCTCTTTTCCAGTCTCTGAAATTGTTAATGAGGAAACTTTGTCCTAACTTTGTCCTAATACTGACAGAGAAGATGGCATTGAGACGGTTCTCGAGGTCCCAGAACCGGAAGAAATGTTCACCAGCATGGGAAGCAATCTTCAAGTGCGTTTGGCAAACATGTTAACTTGGATGAAGGCTCAATCTCCTGATAAGTGGTCTCAACCTGTAGTTGCACGTCGGATTAACGAGTTACGCTTCCTTCTTTACCTAGTTGGATCTCCTCTCATCCCTCTCCAGGTGCAATTGGGCCACTCTGTTTTCAAGTCTGTCGAAGATTGCACAATCGTAAGTATATTATTACACTATTTGTTGCATTCGTTTTTTTAGCATTACCCTTATTGAATTGCCTTGAATTGAATGACAAAGATTACACATTCCTATCGAATTGAGTTTTAAAGAACAGTGTTTCTGCATAAATTATGAACGCAGAAACGTGAGTTAAACAACACACACGAAAAATTGTTTCTGAATAACATTTCAACAAGAGATGAATTTGATCTATAAATTTAAAAGTGTATTATTGACTTAATTACAGCAAGCTTCAACAGCAAAATACATTGTGCAGCAATACATAGCAGCTACAGGCGGACAACCGGCATTGACCGCAGTGCATAGCATATGTGTAACTGGTCAGGTGAAAATTACTGCATCAGAGTTTCACCAAGGTGATGCAAGGATTAATGTGAAGAGCAGGGAGGAAATGGGTGGATATGTGCTCTGGCAAAAAGATCCAGATTTATGGTGCTTGGAGCTTATATTATCAGGATGCAAGGTGGTTTCAGGAAGCAATGGCAAACTTTCCTGGAGGCATTCCTCTAATCAACAGACCCCCGCTTCAAAAAGTCCTCCTAGACCCTTGTTCCGTTTTCTTCAGGTATCTTCAGATAAATACATACAAGCACTTCTTCTCCCCTTTTTCATTCTTCATGAAATACTAATGTCTGACACATATCCGATAGACATAAATACGAAGATCCGATCCTTCAAATATACAAAAAAACTTGGAAAAAGTAGAACATATCGTATCCGACAATCACCCCGAGTCCTTTCATTAGCAACAACATTTGGCTGATTTTTATTTTTTTTTTCATTCTTGGAGTAGGGGTTGGATCCAAGGTCTACAGCCAATTTGTTCATAGATGCAAAATGCATAGGAGAGAATATTATAAGCAACGAAGACTGCTTTATCCTCGAGCTTGAGACAAGTCCAGCTATCCGTGAGGCACAAAGCGGACCAAATTATGAGATCATTCACCACACAATCCGGGGCTACTTCAGCCAGAGGTCACGACTCTTGATTCAATTTGAGGATTCCAGGTTACTGATGATGAAGACCAAGGATGACAATGACGTGTTCTGGGAGACCAGGACAGAGTCAGTGATTGATGGCTATAAGTATATTGATGGTATTAACATTGCACACTGTGGTAAAACAAGCATCACATTGTTTAGATATGGAGAGCAATCTGCTAACCACGAGAGGCAGATGGAAGAGAATTGGAAAATATTGAAGAAGAAGATTTCAATGTATGGGGTTGTCAAAGGATCATTTTCTGCCTCCATCTGATCTGCCAAAAAATTAAGATTTATAGTTTAGAGCATAAAATCACGTGGAAATATGCATTTTTTCTTTTCATTTTTGTGAAGATGGTAAGGGGGAAACCAGAGTGTGTATATACCGGAGAATTTCAAAGGATCGTTTTGATAAAATATGGGCCGTTGCTTCTCGCCAGCGTCACTTGCATGATTAATTGATTATCCCTCACTTAGGCTTGGGATTGACGATCTTTCTATCATTCGGACAAGAAATTAATATGGGCCGTTAATTCGGGCGTGGAAATGGCATTCCTTTGCGTAGAGTATTTTTCTGCTGGGCTGGACGACATCACGTGGGTCTACAGCGCGGAAGCTTTACCTTTGAGACTACGAGCCCATGGGGCAAGTCAAGAAGAGGCTGTTAATCCAGCACACGTGGCCTGATTTTATTGGCTTTTTTTTTTATCATCGTGCGGTCTATCACCGATGGAGGTTGGTGCGTTCCTATTCTTCGCGGATAGACCCAAAACGAAATAAAAACGACATAAAAAATTCGATATCATTTTTGTATAATCGTATTTTGTATCAATATAATTAAAATATAATATTATTTTTATTATATTTATGTTTATATATCATTTTAGTATAATCATATTTCATGTTTTAATTTTATCAATATGATTAAAATATAACATTATTCGTATCATATTTATATCATATAATAATGATGCGTTTAAAATATAATATTATTTATAATATATAAAAAATTTAAATTATTTAATTTATTTAATAAATAAATTAATAAGTAATTTATAATATTATTTTGATATTTAAATATATTATAAATATTTAATTTTAAATAATTTTTTATTTAAATGATTTATTTATTTAAATAAATAAATTATATCTAATTATATTATTCATATATAATCATATTAATTATATCTATCATATTATTTAAATATAAATAAATTTTAAATATATTAGTTATATTATATCATGTATAATATATATAATAAATATGCTATGTTAATATTTAGATTATTTATTTCATTTAAATATTTATATTATATTTATATTAAAATTATTTGTGTTATATTTAAAAATGTATCTAATACAAATATGACATACTGATACAATGTCATATTTATTCATGGGAATGCCATCTGGGGGTGGTTGTTCTTTTTCAAGCTACTGCCGGAAACACATGGCAAATCCCTGGAGGAGAAGGGGATCGGGTGTGTTGGTGATGATGTTTTGGATTTTAGTTAAGGTTAATCATTACATCTTTTCATACGCTTCACAAAAAGATCTTGATTAACCTTAACTAGAATCCAAAACAACCTAATTATTAACTTGAATTAAAATCTAAAATAATTTAAAATCGAAATAATTCAAATTCGAAATGCTTGAATTCAAACCGAAAATTTCTAAACATTTGAGTTAATAAGATTATTATTAATGATAGTACTTGAATTTTAAAAGAATTTAACTTACAATTATTTTTATTATAGTTTTATAATATAATTATAAACATATATTTTTATAATATTTTAATAAATTTTACATAATTTTAAATTTTAATTGATTAATTATAATATAATTATTATAGGAACATGCTTAATTGAATTTCATGTGATTTAAATTTTTAACTTGGCACAATCTTTTACACAAGATTTATATTTGTGTAATTGTGAATGACTTTTACGATGTCATAAGTCATAACCATGCACTCTACAATGAGCACTAATTTAGCAATAGATATTATATTAGGCTTGCATGTAATATCAAATAAGATTCTTTAATGAAAATAATTAATAATTTTAAAAGAAAATTATTTTACGTGATTTATTAAATTAGTATACATAACAATTTTTAATTAACATGTATAGTTGAAAATACTTATTATAATTATTCACACATGTAAAACCCACCTATTAATAAGTAATCTTATGAAAATAAATGGAAGGTATATTGAAAAATATTTATTTTTGGTATTTAAGGCATATTGAAAATTATTACTACTAGTTCATAAAAAAAAAAAAGAAATATATAAAAGAAATGGAATCTCAATGGAGGTTAAACGACACCGTTGAAAAGTCGGTAGCTAGCCCTGTCATAAACTATACGGGAAATTGACAAGTGCCCTCGCAACACCGTTAAATCTGCCATCACATTCACATCGACGGTCAATATCGCCCTAAATCAGATAATGCTCAACTACAAAGAAATTAATCTAGTGTGGTGGCCCGCAGATAATAACATACTCCTTTCCCTCGAAACCGCAACCCATTTGGTCACTTTGTTTCCTTTCCAAATCTAAGTCCAGAAATAACACAACAAAAAATAAAATAAAATAAAAAATAAATTCACAACGGAAATTTTTTAAATAGAAAAAGCCTGAAGGAAAAAATTGTTTTCTTTCTTCTTTTATTCGGAATGAAGGATGATGACACTCTGCCGACGACAACGGCAACGGCAACGGCGACGACAGTGAATGTGAAAAAGGAAAGCTCAGATTCGAGTCTATTTGGTAGAGGCCGGTACAAGTTCTGGGCATTAGCGGCGATTTTGTTGCTGGCATTCTGGTCGATGTTCACTGGTACCGTTACTCTCCGGTGGTTCGCCGGTAATCTCAACCGTCTTTCCGATGATCTCGATAGCCCCATTCATGACGATCTGGATGTCCTCGTATGTTCCCCTCAAATTTTCTCCTTTCTATCTTTGCATTTAAAAAATATTTTTTCTCAATTTTTTTTTTAGGAAATGGAGGAGAGAGAGAAGGTGGTGAAACACATGTGGGACGTGTACACTAACAGCCGTCGAGTCAGATTACCGAGGTTTTGGCAAGAGGCGTTTGAGGCTGCCTACGAGGAGTTGACCAGTGATGTGCCTGGGGTTAGGGAGGCTGCAATCACTGAGATCGCTAAGATGTCCGTTCGTTCCGTAGAGCTTGATCCTCCTCCTATCCAATCAACGGTGAGGATTTAGGGTTTTTTTTAATCATTGTGAATTATGCTGACTTGCTGCATGATATCATTTTTTAAAAATCTCTGAGCTTTGTGTGTGGTGATCTAGAATAATTGTCGCTATTCATGCATTTCAGCTTTTGATTAAACACATGCTTTGCTTAAACGTGTGATTGCCCAATTTACGTGTAAGTGACCAAAAAAACAACTAGGGTTTCTGTTAATTACGTTTGATCCTTAGCTTAACCAGATTTTCCTTCATTAGAATTCATTTTAAACCTACAATTTCTTTGCTATTTTTGGCAAGGTTTTGTTCTGCTAGAAATTTGATTTCGATTGTATATGACCAGAAAAGCAACTGGATTGCCCTGCGATTACATTTGGTTAGTAGCTTAATGGATTTTCCCTTCATTAGACTTGATTTTATTGCCTACTTTCGGTGACGTTTAGTTTTATATTCACTTTCCATTTCATTCAATTATAATTTCTGCCCTTTGATCCCTCTCAAGTGTATGGTCTTTCTTTTAGATTTTTAAGAACCTCATCTTTCTTTTGGGGACTTAGCATTAAGTGAGTGGGATCTAGGTTTTGGATACATTTGGCAGTCTAGCAGACACTTACTAGTTTTGGGACTACTTATTTGTGTTTTTCTTTGTTTTGTTCCAAGAAAGGATTTCAGAAATTTTGTTGCTGATCCTTTATAGTCATCTGTTTTCCTGCTTTGCCATTTCTAGTTAAGTTGCTCTTCTTATTAGCTCTATCGATTCTGTTAGAGGATTCAAAAATTTCAAGTTTATTCTTTTTTATAATCCACCCTAGACCTTGATGAATGCAAAGTTCCTTTTGGTCTCTATAGGTGGGAGAAATTAGTTATGACAAAGCTGTAGTTGATCTTAATCTGGACGATTTTTCCCTTATAGAGTTTGGAAATCCAATTAAATGACATTTGCCAAGGTGTTGTGAGGAGGTTGGAAAGTTTATTTCACAAAATTTTATAAGGGGATGGAGATGAAAGTTTTGGTGGTTCATGTTTCTCTATTATTGAATTCTTTGGTACAAAAGGCCAAAGGGAACAAGATTAAGTTAAAATTGAATGAGACCAGAGGCTGGTGAAGTTTCACGCTGAAAGGCAAATAGATCTGATTAATTCAATTAACTAATATGTAGGTTTATTCCATTCAACCTGTTCGAGAATTGGAGCATATCTGAATTTGACATGAATTTGCAGCTGTAGACTTACTTTGGTTTGCTTTTATTACTATGCATTCTTCCCCACTTTAGTATTGGAGTTTTCTGTATTCGAATAACTTGAGGTTGTAGACTTTCTCAGTTTGCTAGGATCCAGTTGTTGAATAACTTTAAGCATGTTATATGTTCTTGTATTATGAGCATGGCTTTCAGCATTTTTTCTCTCATGGTAATTTGCATTTTTCTGTCTTTCTAATGGCTGTCATCATTGGAATCCTGTGATAATGTACTTACTTTTGCTCGGAGTTATCATGTAATCAAATTAGTTGAAGTGCCCTCTATTCTATATGTATCAGTTTGGGCTCTCACTCGTTATCTTAATGGCTGCATATGTAAACCAATCGAGTTACATCAAAGTCATTTCATTCTCTCGGTTATTCTTCCAATCCTTTGCACTTTAATTTGATGAACCATAGGGATTTTCTAGATCTCAGAACCCGTTTATCTAAAAGATTGTAGAGTCAGGGTGTGTTCATGGTTAGATGGTAGCAGCTGCTCATGGTTAGACTCTATGGCATTCAATGTCTTAATGAATGGTCTCATGGTAGTAAAATCTATCATTTATAACGATTCAGAGGGTAAAATATCATATCCATTCCAATTTTTAAGATGGATTTGATTGTGTAGAGCAAGTAAAATCGCACTTAGGAACAATTGAAGGAAATGAAGTTATTTTATGCTGTTTGCCGCTGTTTCCTTTTGTTGTCTTAGTAGTTAGTAGAATGAGACTGCGCATGGCCTTTGCGTTTTTACCATTTATATGTTGGCACTGGCAGAGTGTAAGAGAACTGAGCAAGGGTCCGAACGAGCACAGAAAGGTGGATCCAAGGTAACCTCAAATGGAAATGCTCAATGATGTGCATAATGTCAGTGGTAGTGACCGGCAAAACCATATAGTTCTTCACATTTTTCGTCACAGGGACAGACTCGAACAACTACAGATCCAATGACTATGATTTTGGGAAATGCCTTGAATGAAATAAGCTCAGTAGTTTACGCTCATCTTCTACCATTGAAAGGGCCTTTTTTCATATATGAGGGAGAATCAGAATCTCCTTTTAAAAAAAAAAATCATATATGTAACATTTAGTGGGATGAAATTGTTTGAATTTCAATTTTTTAATATCATAAATCAAATTTACGATGTACAAATTTACATATAGTCTCAAGTCAATTTTTTTATCATACAATTAAATGTGAACAGACTGTAATTTAAAGAAAAATTTCGGAGAAAGCATTAGTCTCTCTTAAAACCCAAAAAAAAAAAAAAAAGAAGCTAAAAGGATCAATAAAAGTGGTTTTAAATTATGAAGTACAATAATAAAACAATTTTGAGCAAATCCGCAGCTGGGGTTTTTTATTTTCCATCACCAACTTGACTGGTCAAGTTGTTAGCCCAACCTTTTACCAATCTTTAGGCATTGGGTTATTCGTATTTTGATTTTGATCTAATCAATTGATTAAATCAGATTTAGTTCGGTTATAAAGTTATTGAATTAATTTTTGATTAATTATTAAAAATAATTTTAATTTTTTTTATTTTTATTAATTCAATTCAATAATAAACTAAAATGAATTAATTGCAATTTTAATTAAAATTAAAATTAATTAAAAATATAAAAAATAAATTATTTTATTTTATAAATTATTAATTTTTTTAATTTAATATTTTGATATTTGAATACTTTAATTGAATGATTTTATTTATTTTATATTTAATATGAAAAATTAAAATTTTAAATTAAAATTTAATTTAAATATATTTTATTATTTGATTAATCTATAAAATAACTAAATTAAAATTATTAATTTTAAATTTTAATTTAATAAATTAAAATAAAATAAAATATTTTAATTTTAAATAATTAATTTAAAATTAATCGATCGAACACAACTACTAAATCAAACTTTCAAATTTGAATCAAAGTTTTTTTTTTTAATTCCAACAGCCTAGACCTCACTTAACTATTTTTATTTTTCTTTCAAGAGAATTTAAACAAAAGATTTAATTTTTTATATTTAAAGATATAAATAATTAAATCTTAGATCACTTAAATGGAAAATTTATCTCGTTACGAGCAAATTTTTAAAATAAAATATAAATATGTAAAATCTAAGTTTAAAAAATAAATCAGAGGGGATTGTTTTTAATATAAGGTTTGAACATGTGAAATTTGACTTTAAAAAAAAAGTGGTAAGGGTCTTATTATATATATAAAAAGTAAGTAATTTAAAAGTAATTTTTCATTAAAAAACGTCAAGAAATACAAATGCTTGTCCTCTTTGTAGTTCAGTGATCAGTCCATATTCCCATTTTTTCTCGCGTTAGTAGATCGCCGATGAAGTGTCCATATTGTTTGGCGGCGCAAGGTCGGTGCGCTACCACGACCACTGGCCGGTCCATAACAGAGTGCTCCTCGTGCGGTCGAGTCGTCGAAGAGCGCCAATTCCAAAACCACCACCTCTTCCACGTGCGTGCTCAAGATACACCTCTCTGCCTCGTCACCTCCGACATCCCCGCTCCGGCTTCCGCCTACCAAGTCAACGAAGAGGACCCGTTTGAGCCCACGGGCTTTATAACGGCCTTTTCCACATGGTCCCTCGAGCCCAACCCGCTCTTCCTCCGCTCCTCTCTCTCCTTCTCCGGCCACCTTGCGGAGCTTGAGCGGACTCTAGAGCTTTCTTCGTCTTCAACTCCGTCGTCAACGTCGTCGTCGACGGTTGTGATGGATAATTTGAGGGCATATATGCAGATTATCGACGTGGCGTCGATTTTAGGGTTGGATTGCGACATATCGGATCACGCGTTTCAATTTTTTAGGGATTGTTGTTCGGCTACCTGTTTGAGGAACCGGAGCGTTGAGGCGCTTGCTACTGCTGCTCTTGTTCAGGCCATTAGGGAAGCTCAAGAGCCCCGAACCCTGCAGGTAATCAATCACATGTCTATTGATTAAGTGAGGTTTTACATTTGAGTTGTTTATGCTAAAATATTTTTGTGGTGAGGTAAATTTAGTTGAATTATATAACTCAGAATCAAGTTTGTTATTACATCTGGGAATTGTGCTTATTTGCAATTTCAAGACCCCTTGGTACATTGGATTTTTGATGCCTTAAACTGCCCTACACTTGGCTCAAATGGTTGAAATGGTTGATCCATTGTGCCAACTTGTGAGCAGATTGGCTTTAGGAAGAATCTATTATGTATGTACATATGTATGTATGTATGTTTGTATGTATATGGATATGCTACACTAAATTTTGTTAAATTTCGGTTGTTTCTCCTGCAAATGATGAGGTATTGCATAGCTATATGTTCCAAGTGTTTGCATATTTTGTTGATTATGATCTATTCTCCTGTAAAATTACGATCTAACATGATTCATTCTTTTAGCTTTTCATATTGTCGAGGGATATAAGGTAGTTTGTTGTTGTTATAGTTGTTGTATGATCTATTCTCGTAGAGTGGGAATTGAGAAAGAAGCTAATTGCTGCTATATGGGAAGTTCTCAAGTACTATTTCTGGAGTTTGAGATAGCATCTTGTATTCTTTCCCTTTAGTATATGCTGGACTCATATGTTATCGTTAGTCCATAGATACCTTTCTTATAAGGTATTGCACCTGTAACTCTTGTGACCTTGTTTTAAGCCACTGTTAAGGTTCCATAGGGATCATTCTTCAGTGTAATGTGAAATTTCAGTTGGCTGAGCGGTGGTGGGCCTGGTGACACGGAGAATTGGACTGGTGTGAAAATGAAGAGAGTAAGTAGGGAGGTGGGATTGAAAGGAGAACCAGGCAACCATTAAGGTAAATCAAGGGAATGATAATACTGTTTATGGTTAATATTTATGAGGATTTGAGATTGTGGAGGAGAATATAAGAAAACCTAGAGTGCTAAAGTCTAGAATTCTAGAGGTAAATGCTTCGTATTTTGTTTTCAATGTTGTTTCACTACTTTGTGCCCTTGAAAGGGAAAAATGAAGAGTAGGTGCTTGATTATTAACATGGGTATTGCTTTTGCTGGGGTTGTAGACCATAAACCAATGACAGGAAATCTCTATTGCATATCTTGTTTGCATGTAATTTCTCCCCCTTCTTTATTCTAAAGCATCTCTAAGGACTGTTCTAAAATGACAGGAAATCTCTATTGCTGCCAATGTACCACAGAAAGAGATTGGCAAGTACATCAAGATACTGGGAGAAGCTTTACAATTAAGTCAGCCCATCAATAGTAATTCTATATCAGTCCATATGCCAAGATTTTGCACTCTCCTCCAGCTCAACAAATCTGCACAGGTACCTTTCTGTTTAAGAGACACTGCTTGGACCTAGTTATTTTAGTTGATGAAGTTGAATTGTAGCTATCAGAAATTATATCCCATTCCATACGCATATGTTTTGATAATTAAGATGGAAGATGTTGCAGATAAATGTTAAAAGAATGTAAAAATTGCTTAAAATTAAACAAGATGTATGAGAAATTATCTTGGGATGGATGATTATATCGAGTTGTGGTGCCAAGCTATTCTTTTAGAAATGATCTTGATTCAGTTGTTTCTCTAAACTCCTGCTTTTAAGTTCTGAATTTCATTGAAGATGGTTGTAATAGAGTTCTTAATATATTCAGGAGCTGGCAACTCATATTGGAGAAGTTGTGATCAACAAATGCTTCTGCACTCGTAGGAATCCAATCAGCATCTCCGCAGCTGCTATATATCTGGCATGCCAATTAGAAGACAAACGCAAAACTCAGGCTGAGATATGTAAGGTGACAGGTCTCACAGAGGTCACTCTCCGAAAAGTCTACAAAGAGTTATTAGAGAATTGGGATGATCTACTTCCATCTAATTATACCCCGGCTGTCCCTCCAGAGAAAGCATTTCCCACAACTGCAATTGCCACGGGCCGATCTTCGGTGCCTCGAGTTGATCCAATTGACATGACTTCTTCATTGGACAGAGATAAGCAACAAGATTCCAAGTCCAATAAGGCTGATGAAACGGCAGAACCAGGCCTTCAACTTCAAGCTAGAGGCAAAGATGATGCAGAAAGCAACTGCAATTCTTCTGGAATTCATACTACTATGTTGAACTGGCCACCACAGTTCAGGCAACCCTGGCTTCAGTTTGCGTCACCTGGTGTTAGGACAGCAGGAGATAAAAACCAAACCATCATTCGAGGAGACGTTAACGAGCCACAACCAACCTGTCCAAAGTTAGAGCAGAAAGAAGATACATCGAAGATCGATTCCAAGGGTGCTAGTAGTTCTCTAAGGCCAAGCCAGTTCTCAAACACTCCAGCTTCAAATTTGAGTACAATCACTTGGCCATTTCGTTCACCAGCCTCATCAGGGCCTTCTCCAAACATGCCAATTGTGCATCCACCAAAGTTACCACCAGGTTATGCAGAACTTAAAGGTCCCGGCAGTCAAAATGGAAGTAAAAACACCAATCCGAATGGAGACTCCTAGTGAAACAGGTCCTGCCCTCTGCCATAAATTGTTATGGAACATCATTTAATGTAGTGTAAGGTTGCATTTGTTCTGCATGATCATGCTTGTGCTAGAATTCATGATTTTTCTGCGAGGCAAATGAAGGAATGGAATTCAAATTTATGTCTTTCTTTTTCTGAACAAACCCTGTTTTTTGTTTTTTTTTTTTTCTCAAAGAATTTATTTTCCATTTTTTACAATAAATTTATGTCTCTTTTTCTTTGAACTTTTTTGGGTTTGAAAAAACCAGGGCTGGTCCGTGATTCGTCAGGCGTGACTGTCTGTATTTTTCGAACCATCAAATCCCTCCTAATGCTTAGCGAATCCAGCTGTCTATAACCAGCGTGGCACGTCCGCAATTTCTTTGAACTTGGTAGGCATTCTTTTAATCTTCCCGATATTTACGCGCAAATTGGCGTGTCAAACATGGCGAGGTCCTCTGCCCGAACTCATTCTCTCTCATCTACCCAGATCCTTCTTGAAAACAAACACACTTACCTCCAATCTTCACCGTTCATTTATCCACGTCATCGATCCGTCTCTTCCTCTATCCAACGGTTCACGTCCCTCCAATAATTCACAAAACCACCTCCCCCGCTCCCTTGAACAAAACCGCACCCTTAACCCTAGCCACGGACCACGAGCCGCTCACCTTTTCTCTTGGAGGTTCATCCCGAGTCGCCCTAACCAATAAGAAACAAAGAAAATAAAAAGAAAAAAAGAAAAAAAAAAGGTGAGAAAAAGAGAGAAAAAAATAGAGAAAATTGAAATTAAGGTTCTGTTTATTTTTATTTATGTTTTATTTATATCTTTGTGTTTTTTGCCTCAAACGTTTCGATCTTGAAAGAACAGATTCCGTATATGTGAAAAAAAAAAAAGGGTTTTAAGCCATTGAAACAGATTAAAAACCGAACTTATTCTCGATCATCAAAATCTTGGGTTAGGGTTTCCTTTATGTTTTTCCCAATTTTTTTAGCTTCCTTCCTTTGATATTCTTTTTACACTTTTTGTTACTGGTAATGACACTCCTTTAATCTCTTCCTTTTCGAACCATCCCGTTGAATCTATTTATTTCTTTAGATATATAGGTAAAGAAGCTTTAATTTAATATTTGTTTATATAAAAAGGGGTATATGAGATAAAAACGGGGCTGTATTTGATGGACGAGATCTGGGAGAGGGCGGTGGAGACAGCGTTAGACGGGCAACCGGACCACACGGCCGCTCGAACCTTGACACTAGATGGTGCCGTGAAGTGCGTCCAAGGTCGCCTCCCGCCGCCGAGCCTCTTGGAAAAATTTGAGAATCTTCAACACCTGTCCATCGCCAATATCGGCGTTTCATCTCTGGAACAGTTTCCTCGTCTTCCAAATCTCCAGAAACTCATCCTTTCAGACAACAGAATCGCCGGTGGCTTGGAGTTCCTCTTCGAAGCCGGCCTCGAGTCTCTCCGAGACCTCGACTTGTCCAATAATCGGATTCAATATATCGAGGATCTTGCCCCGCTTGCCCAGCTTAAGCTTGTTTCACTCGATCTTTATGAGTGTCCGGTTACCAGAGTTAAGGATTATCGATCCAGGGTTTTCGGGTTGATTAAATCGTTGAAATATTTGGATAAAATGGATGACGAAGAGAACGAAAGGCCGGAGTCAGATGACGAAGAAGAAGATGAAGAGGAGGATGATGACGATGATCCTGGGAGTGGGGAAATCGATGGTGAGGATCGGCCGTATAGAATGGATAATGGGCATAGCGAAGGAGGGGAAGGGATTGTTGATGTTGATGAGGATGAAGAGAGCGATGCAGATGAAGAAGAGACTGAGACAGGTAGAAGAGTAAATGGGCACAGCCATGAGGCCAACGGGTTTCGGATTGAGGAAGTTGGGGGAGACGAAGATGAAGAAGATGAGGATGATGATGATGAGTATAATGATTCAGGTGAGGAAGTTGATGATGAGGAAGAAGATGATGTTGTGGAAGTGCATGAGATTGGAGATAGTGATGATGAGGAAGATGGGGTAGAGGATGATGACGATGATGTTGATGATGAAGATGACGAGGAGGAGGTAGATAATGACGAAGGGGATTTTGCTGAGCTGGAGAGTACTGGGCGTTTAACGAGCACTGAAGGGGAGATTGATGGGCATGAACATGGAGAAAATGATGGGGATGATGATGATAATGGTGAGACTGGTGAGGAAGAGCAAGGTGTTGAAGATTATGGGGACTTCGAAGATGAAGAGGAGGTGAGATTTATTATTGCTTAGCATTACTACTACCTCATGCTTCTAAGGTTTTAACCTAATTGTGTCCTAACTTGATTGAATTGTTTGATTGAAATGGCCTTTTCAGATTTTTCAGGTGAAGAAGATAACATGGCTGTGCTGCTATGTTTTGAATGCTGTTTTTTTTTGCTATTACTTGTGAAATCTCCGCAAAGTTCTTACATTTTTTTTCTTGGTTGTCTAGATCTATACATAAATCAATTTTTCTATATACACTTGTTGCTGCGTGCTTTTGTTGTTTTAAAGCATCAAAGAGGAGAAGAAGTTCCGAGCTTCTGTCATACTGCTGGGCAAGAATTTGGGCTTTATATAGACCTTTAGTCAGAGTCAAGCGTTTTATAACTTTGACTAGTTTTGTTGTTAATAATCATATATGTGGATTTTTTTTTCCCCATAAAAGAGCTAATATATGGACAGCTTTTACAGTTTTTCCACATGCTTCCTTGGTGATTTTAGTATTTCTCATTTTTGCTAATGTATCGGGTAGTTTCTTGTTCTAATTTTCAACACTTGTTCTCACTCATTCTATTAAGCTTTTGCATGGTGAGGACAATATAGAAATTACTGCAAAGCATACTGCTTTTGAATTTTTAATGTAAAATGAGCCTTGTGAAATGTTTTTCTTGAAATATTTAGCTTATCAGTTCTTCCCCGAAATATTGATATTGGTTACTGTATGTACTCATTACCAGAAAAGGTCAATTGGGGTTTTGTCTTTAAAATGTGTTTTATTCTCTTGTTGAGGATGTTCTTCATCATGCTAATATACTTAGTTAACTTCTTCTGCATCGCTGCAATGAGCCTGTTCTTACTAGACCCTGTTATAAGAAAATTTTATGCTTTCTCCTCTAAAATATTATTCATTGAGAAGAGTCAATGCTTTCTTTATGTTATTTTTGTCTTCTGGTTCTCTGAGAATATTGTTTTAGTTCACTATTTATATACAAAACCATGGCAACTTGGGTTGTCAAAAACTTTATGTTCTATAGATTGCAGGCAGCTAAAGTGCAGGTTTAAAACTGATAAGCCACTTTCTAATGGCATGACTTATTTTTTATAAAGTTTCTGTATTATCTTGATATTAATGTTATCCTGTGGGATTGTGGGTTGTTTTGGAAATTTTTAGTTAATAATTTCATCTGTTTCTCTTAGCCTTTTGGATTTTTTCTTGCTGGAGTAGCTTTTGCTTGTGGATTATTTATAGAAACTTCTTATTATTTCACATCTAAAAAATTATTGGTATGCAATTATTTCTGGCTGTGTTGTTGCAGTAAGTAGTTTAGTTCATCAATTATTTGATATTTCTGTAATTATTAGCATCTGAGTTAGTACAAGTTATCGGGGCTAAGATGTTTCCTGTTCAGAAGAATATCACTGCTGTTAATTTTAATGTCTCTGGCTTTTTTTTTTTTTTTTAACTTTTGGGTTGATTTGGGGTTGAGAGATAAAAGAGGGTGAATGAAGATGAGAGTTTTAAGTATCTGCTATTTTCTTTATTTTGAATATAGTTCACTTTTTACTTTTTCAATTTCGTTGTATTTTCTCAATTGTGGTACATTTCATTTAGCTCATTGCTTATGATGAAATAATTGAATTGTTGTTGTTGACTGGAATGGCAGGATGAAGACTATGGTGAAGGTTACCTGGTTCAACCAGTGAGCCAGGCTGAAGAACCTGATGCTGGAGGTAGTGATATGGAGCCAGGGAATGAAGATGATGATGCAGAAGAGCAGGAAGAAGTTGAAGATGATGAGGAAGTTCAGCTGCAGCCATCTTCACAGCTTAAGAGAAAGAGAAGTGATGATGGTGAGGATGATGAGGAGGAAGATGATGTTGTTGAGTTTGGAAAGGCATCAAAGAAGCATCGCTAGTTCTATACGATTTCCCAAGTTAGATGCTTTTGTTAATCCTTAAGAAAGCTTGGAAACGGGAACTTGATGTTAGATAGATTGATTGATAGTCTTCTGGTAGTGATGTTGGCTGTGTTTTTGGACAACAAATGTTTAGGTGAAAGGAATTGTGTATCTTGGTCTTGGCTGGCACTTGCTTAGTTCAAAATGTCGTTAGCGTTTTTCTCCCGCCTGCCTTTCTTTCATATAGCCGTTCTATATGTTGATTCAAATGGCAGTTATGAAGGGTTTGCCGCCCATGTTCAGCTCTCTGGGTGAGGAAAAGAGAACATGATAAAATCTTTGTTTTTTCGTGTTCGGCCAAGCGGGTTATTTAAAGGGGGAGGGATTGTATGTTATAATACGATTCTAGATGGTACTGTGATCCTCCTCGGCTCCATATTGAATCAGGCGGGTTGCAGGCAATTGACCAGCTCAGTACTTTATTACACGCATGGCAAGCTGTGATTGGTCGAATGGTTTTTAATATATGAGCTGCGGCATGTGGGCCATGTAGCAATCAAGCTAGAGTTTGATGTGGCAAAAGGATCAAGTACATTTTTCCTACGGTCTCACAGTCACATGTTACATGGAACCGTTGCGTCATGATTGACAGATTCTTTCTAGACTATGATCTATCGGTTTGATTACCATTTGATCTCTCCTTTTGTCACTGTAAAGTTTCGTAGCTGTGCTGTTGTAGTAAATGTTTTATACTTTTTATGGAAAAAAAATTGGAAAAGGAGGTAGCTTCAAGCTTCTTGTTGACGTATTCATATTGCAGTGGATGGTATAGTAGTAATTTAGCCAATTGTAATCTGGTGGATACAATGATTTTGAAATGAAATCTAGCTTCGGGCCAGTTTGAGGAGCATTAGTCAGAAGAGCCCAATACTAGTAAGCTACGGGCGTAACCTTCCATCAGGCATTTCCACCACGTGTCTTGTATTAATGAATAGAATTTAAAATTTCGAAGATAAATGGTGAATGGCTTAGTTCTTTCGTGATAAAGGGCAGAGGACCCTCTCTAGTCCTCACATGGTCTGTTTCGCAAGGCTGGATAGGGTACTCAGCTAGCTAGAACAGCAGCACTGCCCTAGAATAGGCGGACATCAAAAGAACTTCCCCCACTTTCTCCTCTGGCCATGGATGCCTCAAAGATGCTGCTACTATCACCACCATCAACCCCCCTACTTTCACTAAAACACCGTAGTTTCCTTGTCACGTATAAAAGATCAAGGTTGCAGACTCCGCTGAAAGTGCTAGCCATGGCGAAGGAGACCAGTGAAAGCGACGATGGAGTTATAGAGAAAGCAGCAATAGCCGGTGGCTTGGTTGCCAGCCCAGTGATTGCCTGGTCCCTGTACACGCTCAAGACAACTGGGTGTGGTCTGCCCCCTGGGCCAGGTGGCTCGATTGGTGCGCTGGAAGGTCTGAGCTACCTAGTTGTTGTGGGTATTGTGGGTTGGTCTTTGTACACAAAAGCGAAAACTGGTTCTGGTCTGCCTAATGGGCCTTTTGGGTTACTTGGAGCTGCGGAAGGTTTATCATTCTTGTCTTTGCTTGCCATTTTGGTTGTTTTTGGGTTGCAATTCTTACAAAACGGTTCCATTCCAGGACCCCTCCCAAGTGACCAGTGCTTCGGCTGAGAAGAACGTGGAATGGGCCACTGCCGCTCAATCTTATGCTTCTGGCCATGGTTTACTGTCTTTACTCCAACCTGCAACTTTTCTACTTCATTTTTTTAACATAGTTGATTAGGCTGTGCTGCCTAGGTATTGTAAATAACTTACATAAATAATGAAGTTTCCTTTTCTCTGTTTCTCTTTCTCGTTGTGATTTCTATTAAAATTTTCATGAATGGTTTCTTACTGTATCTGCAATTCGATATGATTAAACATTATTCATCTACCCTTATCCTTTCTTTCTTTTGAGTACAAATCATCTAATGACACCCCACATCCTTAATTTTATCAAATACTTGATTAAAATTTTCTCTCTTTTTCAGTTTGAATCAACGACAACAACAATTGAACCAGAAATATTCCAAGGATTCATAAATTTTTACCAACTTTAACCAAGTCAAAATTATTTGGGTCATGAAGAAAAAGGCCTCTAATTATTTGGGTGAAGTTAATATTGATATAAATTTAAGGATTGTTGGTTATGTGAAAGGCTTGTTGAGCTCCAGCTAACCTCTTTTGTCCTACAAATACGATGTTGTTTGGCTTTGACAAGAACAAAATATAAATTAGTGCAAATTTTGGTGTAAATTTGTGTTTTTTTTTTCTTGCAATAAGAATTGTTTATGATAGAAAATTAATTCAATCGACTTAAGCTTTGACTTTTCTTATAAATTTTTATAATTTTAATGATAAAATAAAAATCCATCGTACTAAAATCATTAACGAAATGATGCGGAAAAGCATTTGAAGAAAGTAGGAACTTTCCGCACAAGTTCTCTCTTTTATTTTTCGCCAGCCAATCAAAAATTTATGATTGACCTAATGACTTAACAACGAAGTCAATACCCCAAACATGAAGTTAAAGCATCATGATCAATAACAACAAGCCACGTGTGAAAACCGGTCTCTCCGTACATAAACTGTCTTGAAGCTCAACTACGTTAAATAAAAACCGCGAGTGCCAGAATCAGCCCGAACTCTTCTATTTCTCGGTGAAGTACTTTGAAACAGTGGTTGAAGTTTCCCACTCGTTTCCAAGGTTTCCTTGTTTCTTTTCCTCTTTGATTTCAACGTTTTTTTTTTTAATAATAAAGTTTCTGTTTGTTTTTTGGGGTTTTGATTCGATAACACCACAAAGAAGCGCCTTCCTCTGCATTCTCTGTGTTGTTTAATACGTATTATAATGGTTCTTTTCTTTTCTTGCTTTGTCTTTGTTTGTTTGCTAAGAAAATAAAAAACGAGGGTGGAAAAGAAAAAGACTTAGTTATTTCTTTTGTATTTTTTTGGGGTTTATTTTCTTGATTCTTTCTGTTTGTTTGCTAAGAAAATGAAAGAGAAACAAGTAAGAAAATGGGGATAAAGAAAAGAATTTTCTTCAACTGAATTTCCATTTGGTTTCCAGAAGGTTGGAATAAAGCGTAAATTTCCTGCCGAGTTTTTGTGTGCTCTTCTGTTTTCTTGGTGGGTCCAAAAAAATTGACTTTGACAACAATTTTTTTTTTTGGGTTTCTATAAGGTGTGACTTTAATTGAATTATTCATATTCTGATAAACCTCTTCAAATCTTTTGTTTCAATCCAGTGTAATAACTAATTTAGTTTTGGGATTGTATGTCTTGTCGCAATATCCCAAGCTATATGTGCAATTTTTACTTCTTCTTTGCTGACTAATTGAACCTGTGCCTCCAGGATTATGGCTGAGTTCGAGAGTAATGGTCAGGGTATGGCAGATTTGGAGAGTAACGAACAGGAAACGATGGAAGATGAAGGTCCAGATGCAGAGTGGGATGTTGATGACAGTTTTTACCCGGTATGGTTTCGGATTTTTTCACTCTAATTCTAAGGTTGAGAACATCTTAAATGCTGATAGATTGTGTGCTATGATCTTCTATAAGAACAGTTTGAAGTAGTATCTGTTTGGTCATTGTTGATTGAAATAAACAAGTGACACTTTCTTGTTTTATCTCTCATGGAAATAACTTAGGCTTTACCGCTGTGCTTCTGTAGCCAGCAAGATTGGATAGATGGGCCTGCTTTTATAAAATTTTCTGCATTTGTCAAACAATAAAGGAGATTGAATTTGTTTGCTGCTCTTTCTCCAACCCCACCCAATCCAATCCCCTTTTAATCTTTCTGAATCTCTTTATGATAAGATCTGTTCTTCTATTTCAGTTTTCCATCACGGCTAAGATTCCAAAGGGCTACACTGAACCCCCCAGAGCGCGCTTAGAAGATGTTGTGAGGAATTATGTGCTTCATTTTCTCCCTGCAAAATCACTCTATAGATTCAGAACTGTTTCCAAAGGATGGAATGAATGGATAAGCTATCCATTTTTTGCCCACAGGCAAACTACTTATTTCAAAGACATTTCTGGTCTCTTTTGTCAAGTTCCTGGTCTCAATCCTTCCTTCATCTCATTTAATCAAGATGCTTATGGCATGCCTGATCCCTCTTTGATGTTCTTGCCTGAGCCTGTCAACATCAGATCCTCTTGCAACGGTCTCCTTTGTTGTCAAAGTGTTGGGGACAATGTCTACTACATTTGCAACCCTGTGACCGAGGAATGGAAAGTGCTTCCTAAGCCGAACTTGTATCATGGAACTGAGGCAGCCATCGTACTTGTTTTTGAACCGCAGGCACTCAATTTTAAAGAATCTTATGAGCTTGTCTGTGCTGTCACTTTTCCTGATCATCCAGTTATCTATTTTGAGATTTACTCATCAAGGTCAAGCTCCTGGAGACTCTGTGACACGATATGCTGTGAACTTGATAGTTTGGATTTGCATAATGGTGGGTATTACATGAAGGGAGTTGTCTATTGGCAATCCTCTTCCGGTGGCATTCTTGCCTTTGATTTGAAGAATGAGCAATATGGTCTTCTGCCTCTTCCTCTCAGCGTTGGACAATATGGTTCTTTAACTGTGATGCATGGGGAGTTGTGTTACATTATGCCTCGTCGTCAAGATGATGGTTGCTCCATATACATTCACGGGAATATGGATATGAGCCTGAAGTCTGTAATCAATCTCACTTGTGATGATGTGGGGAGCATATTTGGTGTCTGCAGGGCTTTGCCCAGCATTAATGACGACATTCTGATACTTGCCAATGGGAGGAAGGTGATTGCTTATCATGTCAGGGAACATAAGGTGGAACTAATATTTACATCGGCAGGTGATGCATGTACCAGGTACCTACCGTATGTGAACAGCCTTGTATCAGTGAGGCATCCGTTGGTTGGAAAAAGGGCTTAATTGTCTAGACAGTCCCTCACAAAGTGTCTTGTAGATTTGTCGTCTGTTGGTTAAAAGGTGAGGCTGCTGGGGTACATGCTTAACCAAGCCTCACCTCTGCTTGTATCTTACTTTTCCTTTTAAACTAGATGTTTGTTTTTCTCTGGAAACTGAGAACTTCAGAAGTTTCTAGCTCATAACTTTTTGTAAGGAACTTCGCTTTCTGAAGCTAGTGATATGGATTGCAATACAAATGGTTTCTTCTTCCTTGTGTAATTTGCTCCATGATGGTGTGAATTCCCCATTTGTGATGCATAATGAGGCAATAAAATGTGAAACATTCTTGAATGATACAAAACTACAAGTAAATTTAGTTTATTATATAGCCAATCGTTCCTGCGTTTTTCCAGACTATTGTAGCTGCCTGTAATCATCCAGGTAAAAATCAGAAAATGTAGAACTTAAAATTCATGTCAGACTACTGAGTAATCATATTACTACACTCAAACTGTTTCATCGGCATTATCTCATGCTCATCTCTCCTCTGCTTCTGCCTCACCCTGTTTTCAGACTTATTCTCAATACATTCAACATTACCTTTCGTTCTCCAAGTTGGTCTGACTCAACATTACCATCCAAAAAATTTTGATGGTAAATAAAGGAATCAATATGCAAAGTAACTGATTGGTATGGTAAATTACCTTTTCCTCTGGATGGTAATATTTGGTCAATGATTCCGTATTACCTTTTCCTTGTGTGTGTGTGTGTGTGTGTGTGTGTGAGGCTTTCTTTGTTACAAGTGTGAAAAGAAGCGCTCATATTGGATAGAAATGGAATAAGTTTTGTAATTGAAGTTGAGATTTCCATATTGTTTAGGCCTGTTTTTGAACCAAAAAAATAGGTTGCCACAGGTTTAGTAAAAAAAGTTAAAAAGAATAACCAACTCAAAACGAATCAAGGGTGACAGAGATCAGAGGTCGAGAGAGAAAAAGAGCCAGAGTCCTGCTTTGTAGGAAGCCACCGGGGAACGACAGAGTCCCCTTTCTAGAATGGCAATTTAACCATACAACACCTTTTCTCTCTCTTTCCCTTGGGAACCCTTCTATCTTCTTCATTCAGGTACCACTTTTCTCTTGCATTTTTTTTTTTTTTTGTTTCTCTATTGATTCATTCACCAAAACTTTTTCCAATCATAAACTGAGCAGGAAATAGTTTAACGTAAGATCTATTCATGAATTTCACCATGCAAGATCAATGTATAACATGTCAATTGTGTTATAAAATTGTTGAAGGTTCTTCATCAGGAGAGCTTTTTTTTTTTATCTAGATTTTTAGCATTTGCATGGCCACTATATCTGATCTTAATTGGCCTGTATCTATCAGAATTTCTTGGTTTTAACCTGGCAGTTTTCTTTGGGGTTCTTCAGTTGTTTGAGCCAAGCAAATAAGGGAGGGGTGGAGTTTCTTGGCTGGAAGTTGGCAAGTCAACTCAAAATGGCATCATCACCTGAGAATTCTCCATCACAAGATTCCCCACCTGCTCCATCACCATCAAATTCAACACAAGATAGCTCACCAACGACATCATCAGCACCCAAAAGCTCACCATCACCGCCACCACCGCCACCTTCACCGTCCCCACCACCTCCGCCAAAATCATCATCATCACCACCACCGCCACCAGCTGATAATAAAAATAATAATAATAATAATTCTTCTTCTCCAACTCCTCCTCCACCTCGTAAAAGTAGCAGCAACCCCTCTCCGCCCCCTCCTCATAAAAGTAGTGGTACCGAGTCAAACACTTCTTCTAATAATGCATCATCCTCAAGTTCGTCCAGTGACAACAACACGGATGTAAAAATCATTATAGGGGTAGCTGTGGGGGCAGGATTATTGCTCGTTGTTGTTATCATCTTTTTAGCAAGATGCTTTCAGCAAAAAAAGAAGAAAAGCCATCAGCAAATGCAGTATTATCCACCTCACGAAGCTAGAGGTAATAAAACAATACCCTTCTGTCCTGCTACCAAGGCAAAGTCCTTTGTTTTTTGTTTCCTGGAATTCTTTCTTTCTTCATTGATGAAATTTGGAAAAGAAAGGTTGTAATTTTACAAATACTTGCCATAAATTCTGTTTGTCAATTAAATCGACATTGAGGCAAGTGTTTTTTGGCTAATGAAGAAGAACTAATGCCTGAATAAATTTCCCCTATAAATCCAATGAAGAAAAGAGAATCAATATGCATGATCTATTATTTATCTTCCGTTGAATCTTGTATCTAGCTTTGATATCAATTTTATCATTTGTGAACTAATAAAATGTTTATATGGCTTATAAATTAGTTCTATTGTATGGTTTATGCAGCAGGTGGTGGTGATCACTATTATAACAACTCACAGAATCCTCAGTGGGGCAATGGTTTTCAAGGGGTAGAGCATGTCGTCAGAGTACCCCCACCACCTGGTGGTGGTGGTGGATGGGGTTCACCAACCCCAATGCCAGGACCAATTTTCAGCGGTGAATCAAGCTCCAACTTCTCAGGCCCACACCATCCTCCTTTGCCACCTCCATCACCAAATATTGCTCTTGGGTTCAATAAGAGCACTTTCACTTATGAGGAGCTGGCAGCAGCTACAGGCGGATTTTCTCACGCGAATCTGCTTGGCCAAGGTGGGTTCGGCTATGTGCACAAGGGTGTATTACCAAATGGAAAGGAGGTTGCAGTTAAGAGTTTAAAAATGGGTAGTGGACAAGGAGAAAGAGAATTCCAGGCTGAAGTTGAAATAATTAGCCGTGTCCATCATCGACATCTTGTGTCACTAGTTGGATATTGCATTGCTGGCGGGCAGCGGATGTTGGTGTATGAATTTGTTCCAAATAACACCTTGGAACATCATCTTCATGGTAAATTTAATTTCATGCTTAATTCATTATCCTTTTTCTTTTCATATTTGCATAAAGATATTTAAAGCTTGCAGTACTTTTTCCATTGCAGGAAAGAATCTTCCAGTTATGGATTTTTCCACTAGACTTCGCATTGCATTAGGTTCTGCTAAAGGGCTTGCTTATCTTCATGAAGATTGTGAGGAATTCCCAGTCTCTCTCACACTTTCTATCTCTCTGCCACTCCTTTTCTCCCTAAGGTTTTCATTAATTTGTTGAACTATACATGCAGGCCATCCTCGCATTATTCATCGTGATATCAAAGCAGCTAATATTCTCCTCGACTACAACTTCGAAGCCATGGTATCTTCTTTTAAGGCACCAAAGTTCACTATTATTATTTATATCAGTTCAGGATATCTATGTTAGCAAAAGGGGTAACTAACCATGCATGTATGTTATAGGTGGCTGACTTTGGATTGGCTAAGCTGTCTTCTGATAACTACACTCATGTCTCAACTCGTGTGATGGGAACATTCGGGTAAGGAACTGAATCTATAAATAAAAGTGAAGAGTTATTTCGTGACTCGTGTTTGAGGGAAAGAAAGATTGAAACAGGGAAATCTATAATTTGCTTGAAGAGGTTGAGGTCAAACAACATTTCATAAAGGAAAATGGAAATTAGAACTACTCGCCAGTGATTTTAAGTTTTTTTTCTTCCTTTTTAATGTAGGTACTTGGCTCCGGAGTATGCCTCAAGCGGCAAGTTGACAGAGAAATCTGATGTTTTCTCTTTTGGGGTCATGCTCTTAGAACTCATAACTGGAAAGCAGCCTGTTGATCTTACTAACGCAATGGACGACAGCTTAGTAGATTGGGTCCGTACCCGATTCTCATTCCATATTATCCAAACTTAATACTTGAATTGGAGTTTAAATTTGATACATTAATTGCCAAATATAAACTCCTTTCTCATCCATAGAAAATTACATAGAGAATGCTGTTTAATGTACTTTATGAACAGGCTCGACCACTTTTGGCTCAAGCACTGGAGGATGGCAACCATGATCAGCTGGTTGATGCACGCTTGGAGCTTAACTACAACCATAACGAAATGCAACGCATGATAGCCTGTGCTGCAGCCAGCATCAGACATTCAGCGAGAAAGCGCCCGAAAATGAGCCAGGTTTACAATGATCTCCAAACTTCTTTGCCTTGTTATTGTAATGTTACATTTTATAAGTGGTTTATATATATTATATATAATCATCATGGAAAGCAGATAGTACGTGCCCTGGAAGGAGACTCTTCCCTGGATGACCTGAATGAGGGCGTAAAGCCAGGCCAAAGCTCAATCTATTCCTCTGGCATGAGCACAGGCTACAGCAACAGTTCATACAAGGCTGACATGGAGAAGTTCAGACAACTAGCATTATCAAGCCAGGAAATGGGTGGGAGCAGCGAATATGGAACTTCGAGCAGCGATCACTCAAGAGATCTAGCACTCGGAGGGATGGAAAAACACAATATTTAACAAGTTGACCAAAACCAAAACCTTGAAAAACAAAACAGTGATTGTTTACATTATAATATTGATTGGCTCAATATTATTTCCAGGTCGCTCTGTTAATCTGGGATCTTTGTTAATTCAAGTGTTTTCTCTTTCTTATCCGGATTTGTATTATTTTTGCATAGACCTGATCATGTATGGTGGCATGTTTAAAGTGAAAAATTACATTGGGATCGTCTTTTTTTGGTCATTCTATGCTATAAGAAAAGGGAATTCATGTCATTTTTCAAAACCATGTCAACATTATCATTTTGCCTTGTAAAATCCTATACCTTCAAAAAGAAATAGGAAATTGTTTGGTCTTTGTGTCAGGTTTTATTTTGAAAAGATTATCAACTGTTGGATTGAGTTTCAGGCTTATAATACTACAACTTTTTTTGGCATAACTCAGGGTGTTCAAAAAATTCATTTTCACTCCTCAAATAATAAGATTATTTATATTTAATGTTGTTGTCAAAATCAAACGCTCACAATTTTATTAATATCTTTAAATAATTTGATAATTATATGTGATATTTAAATTAATAATTTTGTATTTTAGTGATCAAAATTTAAATTCTCATAATATCAATTACTAAAAAAAATAATTTTGCACTATAAAGATGAAAAAAAATCCTTTCATTTAATTTTAAAATATACACTAATTATTTAAATATTAATGTAAAACTTTACTATAAGTTGAAGGTTATGTCTATAGACTGGGCTGGGCTTAGCTCTCCAAGCTTTGGGTCCAATAAGAAATAGTCTGAGCCCGTCCTGATCCATGTACAGCAAGCAAGCTAAAACGACAACGTTTCAACCACCTCTTTCCCACGAGCATACGAAATTCGGATTCCGAGTTCCGTTCAACATTGCAGTCACAATTCACAGGTCAAGTGGTCTGCAGTTTGCACAGAGAAAAGAAAAAGTAAAACAAAGCCCTCTGATTTCTCTTCAACATGGCAGATTACAACGATGCCTTAATGCGCAACCAAAACGCCGCCGTTCAGGCCCGCGTTAAACCCCCTCAGAACCGCGCCAATATTCAACAGCTCAAGCTGGTTCGTTATTTTAAGTTTTTTTTTTTTTTTGAATAGTGCGATCCGATTATTTTTATTCTCGATTTTTCAGCTTAAGATTTTTGTGGATTTTTCTTTCTTGTATTAGGGAATGAAGATTTTCTGGGATTTTCAAAAAAAATTAGATGCAATTAAAAATTGAGTGGTGATTTTAATTTGTTCTAGGGTAAAGATGATTGAATACTAATTTGTTTACTTTGCAGATTGGGCAAAGTCATCCTACTGGTTTAACAGCCAATCTTTTGAAGCTCTTTGAAGCTCGACCTCCATTGGAGTTTAAACCGCTTCCTGAGAAGCGAAAATGCCCTCCGTACACAGGTCTTTGTCGTGTATTTGGCGTTTGAGTTTAAAATTTTGACATTTATTGATTTGTTTTGCTTTGTTTGGCTTTGTTAGGAATGGCACAGCTTGTTAGTCACTTTGCTGAGCCGGGAGATGCTGAGTATGCCCCTCCTGTTCAGAAAGCCGAAACACCTGTAGGACACTTGTTCTCAAGTAGAAGTTACTGTGTTTTTGTTTCTTTGCATAAGTCTTTGGTTTTGATCATCTTTCTTATGTTTTCTTCTGCCGTTTTATTGAATTTGAATTGTATTTGAGTGATATGATATGTCAATAAGATGTTTAATGGTCGGAGCCATATACTGAGATCACTTTGGTTATTTTTTTGTGTTTGTTTGTGAGCCACTGCTATTTTGAGATCGCTTTAGTTATTTTTCTCATGTTTGTGCATGAACCATGCCTTGTTTAAAAGATTGAGTTAGTACCATAAGCTGGTCAAAACTGGGTGAGAGTGTTGTGAAACAATTATTGCACTATAGAATGGCTTTGGTGCAAGATGTTAATTTGACCACCAACTTTACTTTGATGGAAGGAAAAAGTTTTAACATATATGTGCTTTTTTATTTTTTATTTTTGAATCTAGGCACAAAGAAGAGCAAGAATCCATAAGTTACAACTACAGAAGGGTGTGGAGAAGGCAGCTGAGGAGTTGAAAAACTGTAAGTCTCATTTCCTATAGTTTCTTATTGGTGACTAATGAATTTGTTTAATGCACTTTTATGATTTTTAATCTTTTTTTTTTTTTGTGTCTTTTATGCAGATGATCCAAATAACGACCCAAACATTTCAGGTGATCCATACAAGACACTCTTTGTTGCTAGACTTGTAAGCGAATTTGCCTAATTTCATATCTAACTTCATCTTTCAATTATCCCTGCTGGAATAAGTTATTAGCTTGCATTATTTGTTGCAGAATTACGAGACGTCTGAGAGTAGAATTAAAAGGGAATTTGAGTCTTATGGACAGATTAAGCGGGTAGGTATTTTAGAGCATCCTCATGCAGGTTTGGTAAGAGGTTATGCAGCTGCTTTATCCTATTTGTTTCCTTCATAAAAGATTTTAGTTTCACACACTAAATTTTGATTCTAAAGTTTGCTGTTTCCAGTATTTTTAAAACAAGCTATATTTTTCTTGTAAAAAGTTCAATATTCTGACATATACTTATTTACTTACTTAAGCTTACTAAGGAACAAATGTTTAAAACATTTGTATGAACTTGGCATGCAGTAATCCATCTTTGTGGAAAAAATCTATCTTTAGATTTTAGTTCTAAATAGCTGTGTGTGATGCAACTTCTCTTTGGCTTCCATGAGAATGCTGAGATTCTGCCTGTTCTGTAATTTATCATATTTCAGTGTCTGTACAACTTGGAAAAATGTAAAACAGGTATCGCTGCTTATTTAATGGTAAGGGTGAATGGGTTTGTTTCACTTGACCCCTTGATAAGTTGCTCGAATATGGTAGGATGTAGAAATCATCTCCAGACATAGGTGATCTTCTACTCTTTAGGTATTGTTCTACCATTAAGAATCATCCTATAAAGGTATCTGTGGTAAGGGGCTGATTACTTTTTTTCTCAATCCCCAATATTTTTACAATTCCAAAGATGTTGCTTCATCCTGCACAGCAAAGCTGAAAAACTATGTTGAGCAGATAAGTTGTGCGTTGAGCCTTTTTGGCCTTTATTTCGAGCGACGTAAGGTGGCTGACATACTCTTTAGGTATTGTTCTACCATTAAGAATTATCCTATAAAGGTATCCGTGGTAAGGGGCTGATTACTCTGTTTCCCAATCCCCAATATTTTTACAATTCCAAAGATGTTGCTTCATCCTGCACAGCAAAGCTGAAAAACTATATTGAGTGGATAAGTTGTGCGTCGAGCCTTTTTGGCCTTTATTTTCGAGCAACATAAGCTGGCTGGCATCTGTTCTTTTTCCTGCTCTGGGTAAAACAAATTGGGAGTATTAGCATCTCTTTCTTTTGTTATTTAAATTTTTAGTCTGTGTTTTTCCTGCTACTAAAAGTTTTACTTTTGGCTTTTAAAGGCTATCAAAAACATATCAGCAGTTGAGAAGGTGTTCTGGTATTTTCTAGTCTATAACTATTTCTATTTTAAAAAATTATTCCCTGGTAAGGGGAGTCTAGTTTGTTGAACAAATGGTAAATATACCATGATACATCAGTCTATCTGCAACTCTAGCAGTGGTGGTCAGCATCTCGCAATGGCAGCCCTATGATTAAAAGGTGAGCACGGCTAATGAGGCATAATGCCTGCCTGCCGTGCCATTTAGGATTTACTGCTTGTAACATTTTTGTAGCATTAGAACTTAGCTGTGGAGATCAAACACCATCAATTATAATTATCTGATTCTTACCAAAATATTTTTCTTTTATACATTTCTTCCAACTGTTTGTTAATTATTTCTTCTGTTGTGAGATTACCAGGTTCGGTTGATTACTGATAAATCCACAAATAAACCAAGAGGCTATGCTTTCATCGAATACATGCATACTTGGGATATGAAAGGTTTGCTTAGATTTGATTTGATTATGTTTTCACTTTTGAGTTGGTAGGCTCCAGAGAGTGAGTGTTGTTAATATCTGCTTTCAATCATCTCACAGCTGCTTATAAACAAGCTGATGGGAGGAAGATTGATGGCAGAAGGGTTCTTGTGGATGTTGAGCGTGGTAGGACAGTACCAAATTGGCGCCCATGTAGACTAGGTGGTGGACTTGGAACAACCAGGGTTGAAGGTGAAGATGTTATCCAAAGGTATTGTGGAGGTGGCTATGCATATTGTAATGCTGATGCATAAACATACCCTGTAAAAGATGAAAAATGCGTGTTAAAAGTTTCAAAATTAGTACTTGGTAGAAATTGCTTAAATTTGTGATATTAATATTTAAGTGTCAAGTAAGAAATTAAAAATATATATATAGAATACGGGTGATGCATCTTAGCTGATTCTCCCTTTGTGATTGCCAGCTAGGCTGCAAGCAGCAGCCTTTAATTCACATGCTTCCAGAGAGATAAGCTGAACTCCAAAAATTTACTTGGCTGATGTTCATATATATATTTTTTCCTCTCAAGCTATGTTTGGTAACTTGAAGTCCACTATTACCAGGCTTGGACTGACCACTTATGTGATTTTATGGAAAGTAAATGCTATTTTTAATTTGTTATTTTCTGGAAATTAAATTCTATTTTCTTTTGTTACTCAGGGAGCTACTGCAATCAGGACCATCTTGTTCTAAGGAGCCAAGGATTCGAGAGGATCGACATGGTGACCGGTAAGATTAGCTGAGTTGTTTGACCAATTTTTGTCTATAGAGATCTGGTAAAATCTAGAAGGTTTGCTGGCTGAATACTTATTTCAGCACAAATGTCAGAATTATTCATCCCGCCTTTACTTTTGCTAGGAAATATGTGATAAGAACCATTTTCTAGGCTTTTGCCATGGTGTCATCATAATATATTATGATTATCTGATTGATCTTGGAAATTTTAGGGACAGGGAAAAATCTCATGAAAGAGGAAGGGAAAGGGAGAGGGAGCGAGAAAAACCTCGTGAGCGCTCCCGTGACAGAACAAGGGATCGTGATAGAGAGGAAAGACACCACAGAGATCGTGAAAGAACTAGAGACAGAGATAGGGACAGAGAGAGAGACCATGGTCATGATCGTGATCAAGCACATGATCGAGGTCGGGATCGTGGTTGTGACTATGAGCGTGATAGAGAAAGAGATCGTGAAAGGGACAGAGACAGAGACAGAGATAGGGATTATGATGTTGGTGACTATGACCGTGACGGTAGGCATTCTAGGGATGGGGAATCTGATTATGACCGTGTTGAGTCCAAACATGAGCGGGACCGGCGCAGTGAGAGGGATTATGATCATGGTGAGCCAGATGAGGATCGGGGGTGGTATGAACACCATGACCAGGGGCATAGGCGTTCAGATGACCAATACTATGAACACTATGAGCATGATCGAGGTCGAGGAGAATATGATTTGGATTCCTGCGGTGATCGTTATGATCAATATACTGACCGTGACCGTGATCATTATGATGGGATGGAAGAAGATGATTATAGGTGACTATGATCATAAGACAGAAATCAGTGAGTTCACTTTTCTTGAATATGAGCTGCTTCTCTCCCATTGCACCTTGTTTAGTTTAGATCCCAAGTAAACTGTCTTCAGTATTCCTTCTCTCTGATATGTTTAATTCCGAGTTCAGGAGTGTTTGCGTTGGAGTTGGAACCCTGCTACCACGAGCTTGTTTTTATTTTTATTTTCTTTAAATTTTTCTGAAGACTTGTTATATTGTTTTAAGCTATATGCTACTGACCTGTTGTGTTTGCTCCCATTTTGTTTAGGATGCTTGAAATGGGTAATTAATGTTATTATATTATTGTGGTTCTATGGTCATTCTTTGATTTAAAGCTAGCTTTTTCCTGACACTATCCATACATGATTGAAGTTATTAGCTTATTTCTGGTGCTGCGTAAGCCTAAAGATTTTACCAGGTTACCATTGTTAGTTGCTTATATACAGCTTATGTTTAGCGGTGAAGTCCGCGCATATTCTGTGAATTTTATCAATTTAAACGACAATAACATGTCTTCTTTCCATTTACTTTTCCTTTTTAAAAATGCTATTAATTCTGGTGAGATTATGAAATTTTAGATCAACGGAAGCCTAATAGCCATTTGGTGGATGCTTAAAGTACAATCATATAGTCTGGACGAGCTAAACACGCAAAAATATCTGTGGCTTGTTATCATAATCAAACTTCCATAAAGCTATCTATCTCCATGGAACAACACAAATCTAACAGTAATCCGTCTACAAATAAAATCAGACAAATTATCAAATCCCGTTAGACCCAAATCCTCCAGTTCCTATGAAAGTAGAATCCAAGTCCTTGACTTCCAAATCTCAGGAGTTACAATCTTTTGAAGCATAAACTAGGAAATCCGATCGCCGTGCTTCCCTTGGAAATCAGCATCAAAATGATTAAACGGAATCATCCCAATTCCCAATTCCCAACACTCATCACCTCACCCCAGCTCCAACATCGATCGAATTCTTCAAAGCAAACCCAGAACTTGAAAAAAGGTTATATAATTTACCTATACGAGCACATGTTCCTCCTTGTATCCCATTGCTTAAATCAGTTGGGACCAAAGCTTTCCCTCTCGCAGCTTGGTAAAGAATTTTGTGAAAATAAAATGATGTTTAAATACTAGTATTACCTCGGAGAGGCTCTTGAAGGCAACACGGCATTCTCCGAAAGCTTCTTGATTCTGAAATGGCTTTGAGGGACTTAAAAGACGCCGCCGTTTTTGCTTCGGTCGAGCCTCGTAAGACTCTCCAAAAGGTTCTTCTGTCAGGACATAATGAGAGCTTGCAGAACATGTTCGGTAGAGTTTAGCCCGAGTTGAGATTTAAGAATTTGGTTTATACAATTGTTAAATAAATTGCCCACGGTTGAGACTTGAGCCAAAAGTTTTTGAAACTTTGGGCTTTTCAATGGACTACTACCTTACCAAATATTGGACTTCTTGATGATATGATTTTGGGTTCAGGGGACCCACTTTGAGTGTTAATTGGGCTTGTTTTGGTACTTTTTGGGCCCTATATCAGGCTCAGGAATTAGTGTTTGAGTAGCCCTTATTTTTGTCACGTACCAATAAAACATTATAGTTTTAAGTAGTTGAGATTTCTCAAACTCAACTTGATATAGATAACAAACCAGAAAAAAACTTGATATGTAAAAAAATTCTATCAAAATATTAATGAAACAAAACAAAAAAAAAACTTTGGATTCGAAATTCATGTCTTTAACTGTTTTTACAACATGTAACATCCATTTTTGTTCTATATTTCAACTTTGTCGGTCGCTTTTAGTTCCAAATGCAGGCGAATTGTATTACGGTCTTGGAAACCTCGAAAAACGGGTGGTCCGTCTGGTGTCGCACTGAAGCTAGCTTTCTTGACCACAAAGAAGTCACAAATTTCCAAAACAGGAAAAGAAGAGATGGATAATAAAACTAAAGAAGGGAAAGTCTTATGTTTGGAAGTGCGTAGGATAAAACAGTTCAGAAGAAACAGCTATGAAGCTTCATGGGTTTTGCCGTAAATCAGCATCCAAATCAAGCATTACCCGAAAGCCTATGACTCGGGGCCAAGTCCATTTACTATAACTTGAAGATGCTATCTATATTGCTTGTTGGTTTGTACAAAAATGATTGAAGACTCAACGTTGTTTCTGGGAAGTTTCCTCTCAAGCCTTTGCTTTGCTCTTCTTTTTTAGTTTCCATCATTTGTTGGCCTCAGTTCACTTTGAGAAACAAATCAGTTTTTCACATTGTATGCCATTTAAGGTCAATTGATGTCAAAAGAGGAAGCTTGTTTACTTATTTATTGTCACTCTTTTTTGATGGTCATAATGGGATTTTTTTAAACTAATAAACATAAGAGAAAAAGTCTAAAAATAATGTTAAAAAGATTTTTTTTTTTTATTTTACCAATAAGTTTGGAAGCAGCCATGAAGCTTCCATTGCCGCGTAAACTTGGTACCGAAAGGATCTGATTTGGATTAGCCTAGATTTAGCAAACGGGAGAATAAGATTGAGGGAAGCTTTTTTGGTAACATCAGCCACTGTCACATCCAAGAGCATTGCTAAAAGAAATGATAATAACTGATAAATAACACTAAAGTTCAGTCTAAGCTCTAGTTGCTCATGCAGACTTCATTTCCATGTGACCCTAATTCTTGATTCTAACTTCATTGGATTAGATCATGTCAAATATGGTAACTTTTTTTTTTTAGCAAAACAGCAGGGAACGAAATTACTTGAAACCTCATCAGTCATCATGTAATTTGATTTTACTAAAGCGTTTTATTAGCTTCCTCGAAACTTCAAGACATGTAGGAAAAAGGGGATACTGCAAGACAGGGCAGATTAGCAGTAATTGGGAGAATATTACATGACATTTACAGCTGTTATTGTCCGAAAATTTAAGTTCTGAAATTGTTGTTGGTGGGTCGAAAAAGAATCCTTTGAGGTTCAAATTTTGAAACTTCCAAAGAGATGAAATGGTTGAAAACTTTACAACGGCATTGAATAGTACAGATTCCAGAGGGGACAATCAGATGATTCTAAAACAGAATAAAACACATAATTGTTAGTATCTGAAATTATATGAAATATTCTTTTTTTTCTTACATGTTCTTTCATGGGAAAATAGGAGTTAAAAAAATTTATTTACCAAAAAGAACTGTCATTGCACCAGGCTGTCGAACGTACAATAGAGGGGCAGAAAGAGAGATTGATTTATAAATGTAGACACCAGGGATGCCACTGTATTGATAGCAGAGAGGAATAATAAGAATAGAAGTGAGTAAACTTAAAGCTGGGAAAAGTTTTTCATTGAATTGCTTTAATAAGTTACAGAATCTCTCCCTCTTTGCTAACAATTCAGGGGCTGTAGTCAAAATGGCTCGAATTCAGGTTAACCGGAGAGGCTTGGCAATCATGGCACGGATGGTCTTTCTGATTCTTGTCATGATGAGCAATATGGGGATTGCAGAGAGAATATTGAAAGACAAATGGAATCAAGAAGTTTTCAAAGAGAAAGAAAAAACACAAGGGTTTCTGGTTAAAATAGCCGACTTCCTCTGGGAAGGTGGGAAGTCTGCATATGAACCTGTCTGGCCGGTTAGTTAGCTTAGTTAGACTTGTTTAACTACATCTGGTATTTTTCTGCTTGTTGGACATCTAGAAGAGGAAAAACTTTTGAAAATTTTCTAATCAGTAATCAATGCATTCTTATGCACCAGCTGATGATGATTTTTCAATCCGTTTGTGTCATTAATCTTTCAATTTTGTTTCCTTTGATATTGAATTTAACTATTGATTGAGCAGGAGATGGAATTTGGTTGGAAAATAGTTGTAGGAACAATTGTTGGTTTCCTTGGTGCAGCGTTGGGTAGCGTTGGAGGGGTTGGAGGTGGTGGAATTTTTGTTCCAATGCTCACTCTCATAATAGGTTTCGACCCCAAGTCTTCCACTGCCATTTCCAAGTGTGAGTTTCTGCTTTGCTCAAATATAATCCTGTTTTATTCCTGTAATTTGACCTCAATGCATCAACCCTGTATATGTTTCATATTCATGGCATAGATATATACATACATGCATATATGCATGCAGCAAGCATGACCATAACAGAGTTAACATCGGTAAGCTTGATGCTTTAGGCTCATCCAAGTTCTGCTGAATCCTTCGAATTTTTAGTATAGTCTGTAATAATCATATGCATTGGTAACAAAGATTTTTTTGATTGCAGGTATGATCATGGGTGCAGCTGGATCAACAGTATACTATAACCTGAGACTTAGGCACCCGACACTGGAAATGCCCCTCATAGATTATGACTTGGCGTTGCTCTTCCAGCCAATGCTCATGCTTGGAATCAGCATTGGAATTACTCTAAATGTCATGTTCGCTGATTGGATGGTCACAGTTCTGCTTATCATCCTTTTCATTGGTAATAATAACAATTAGTTAAGGATCAATAATGGTAATCCGAGGATATTGCATGAAACACTTTAATCATTCATACCATTTCCATTTTTCCTTGTGTCATCCCATTAGGACTTTGGTTTTCTTTATTCAAATTAAAAGAGCGCAGTTTTCCAGTGGAGCTTTCACAAAACTATGATGCAATAGCAAAACAGATAGGACATTCCAGCTTGGAAGATGCAATTTCTTTTCGATCATAGTTCATGATCTATGAATCATGGTTTTCTCTTAGATATAGATGCATAAATTTATTGATGGCAGGTACATCAACGAAAGCCTTATTCAAAGGTATAGATACATGGAAGAAAGAGACAATGATGAAAAAGGTAGACTTTTCAACTTGATTTCTCTTAAGTTTTCCATGGATTTCTTCCTTTTGTTATAAGATTATTAATGAAGGATTTGAGATTCTATTTTCAGGAAGCAGCCAAGTTGGAAGCAGAGTCCAATCCAGCTGGTGAGTGCCTTATCATCACCTCCAAGCAAACTTATCAATAAAAGTAGCTTTTACTTCATAGTAATAATTTCGAATGAGAATTCTCATTAGAAGGAAATGACTGCTAAACAAACTTAAGGAAGCTATTACAGATGATAGAAGGATACGAAACGGGCTGTCCCTCATCAGATCATACTTATAAAAGAGTAAACTAAGTTCATATATGACCTCATTTAGGTGTCACTTAGATTTGTATCTGAGTTTCAGATACATTGCAACAGCAAATCGATCTGTTAAAAAAAAAAATCTAATCGCTTGAAACCAAACATAAGCGGTTTGTCAGGAGTTGAAATTTAGGCTTAGCAGATGAAGTTCCCATTTATTGTTGTTTCTGGCCACCGGTTACTATGTTCAAATAAGCAATGAGAAATGGATTATGATTAAAATGGCAGTTAGTAAGACAAATTATGTGTGAAAGTAGAAAATCTCAAGATACAATACATAGAGGTCAACTGATATAATGTTTTCATTATGTTAATTGAAACATTGCAAATGGCTTGTGCCAAACCCGGAAAATGCAGATGGAGCTGCACCAGCCTATAAACCGCTACCTAGTGGCCCTGGCACCCTGCCAGAAGATGATGTGAGTTCAAGAATATTTTGGTTTCCTTACAACAATGCTCTTCCATTTTAATTCACAATGTTATTCTTATCTTTGCTGTAATTGGGTATTGTTGTTATCATTCAATTCAGGTTCCTCTGCTACAAAACATATACTGGAAAGAGTTGTCGCTGCTGTTGTATGTGTGGATTGGTTTTCTTATTGTTCAGATTATTAAGGTATGCTAATATTGTCTGTAATATCACAACAAAAAGTCTTGGATCAGATCTTTCGTAGGTTCCCCACGATCTTGTATCTTTTCATAGTCCACTATTATCAATGTGAAGTTATTCTTGTGTTTGCTAAATGTCATCCACATGTTTGTCTATGCAGGAATATCTTCCAACTTGCTCAATCATGTACTGGATTGTGAACTCCTTGCAGGTAGAAACTCGAAATTGTAGACAGATAGAAGGGAATTGATTCCATTTTAATGTGAAAAACTAGGGAAAAAAAAAATCCATTCTCAAGTAAGTGGGGGCAACAGAAAAAGGACTAGATATAAGTTTACTTAGAGTTCACACATATCTATTATTTTAAGAATGGTCTCTTCGAGATCTGGTTTATGAATGAAAGCAAACTTATATCCAATCATTTTAGTCTGAAATGCAGATAAAGCTCTTGAAGAACTTGTTTAGGAAAAAAAGAAAAAGATTTTCTCTTCAACTCTATTGTTGCTTTTTCTATAGATACCCATTGCTGCCACTGTGACACTCTTTGAAGCCATATGCTTATACAAAGGGACTAGGGTGATCGCATCCAAAGGAAAGGAAGTCACAAATTGGAAGATATATCAGATTCTTCTTTACTGCTCCTGCGGTATAATAGCTGGTATGGTTGGTGGGCTGCTGGGACTGGGAGGTGGCTTCATCTTGGGTCCTCTATTCCTTGAACTGGGAATTCCTCCTCAGGTATACTTTTCTAGTTTTGTTTAATGTAAGTCTTGGAACCCCATACTTGAAGACCATTCATTGGAAAAATGCTGAGAACCTCATAATCCATCATTGAGAGGCAGACTATAGGTTGTAATTAAGAGAAAATTCCATGTATGAATGCACAAGAGGCTGAAAAAGATTACGATCAAGCTCTGATCCATGTTTTCCATGCAAAGACATATAAAATGCCAGCACAAACAACTGAGTTTGAAAATGCTAATATACTTGAGCAGGTAGCAAGTGCAACATCAACGTTTGCTCTGGCATTTTCCTCCTCAATGTCAGTTGTACAATATTATCTTCTCAATCGTTTCCCAGTCCCATATGGTAAGTGGCGATGACAGAAAAAATTTACCATTAGAATCAATTGTTAGCAACTAAGAAAAACATCTGTCGTATACTCTAATGTCAAATTTTTTTTCCCCGCAGCTGCTTATTTTGTTCTCGTAGCAACCATTGCTGCCTTCACTGGCCAGCATGTAGTCAGAAAGATTATTGCATTCCTCGGAAGAGCATCGATAATCATCTTCATACTAGCTTTGACAATCTTTGTCAGCGCTATCAGTTTAGGTGTACAACATAAGTCTTACTCGTTGTCTTGAAAAGCAAGTCACTTAAATTTGAGCCCTCAAAATGGTAAGAAGCTGACCCCATTTTCCTGAATGTTACAGGTGGAGTTGGCATTGCTGATATGGTCGAAAAGCTGGCAAATGAAGAGTATATGGGATTTGAAAACCTTTGCGAGCTGTCTTGAGATCTTTCCATTTTTTTTCCCTATTGCAGGTGGAATTTCGCAGCAGAGAGCAACTAAGTTCACACTGCATTCAACATCAGTACTTCACAGTCAACTATTTGTCAATTATTTTCATTTAAAGATTTGGGTTTTCATATATGTTGATGGACATTCACTTTTTGTCCAATGTACGCAAGAACTTCTCACCTGAGCTTCTGTTTCTTTTGTTTTCCATTTGGATCTTATTCTGCTATATAAAATCTGTATGTAATACTCACGTAGATTGTGATACGATAATTTTCATATTTTACGCATATTTAATGTAAAATAAACATATAAAAAATACTCAAATTACCATATCTATATAACAATTGACTAGGGATTTCTCTTCTTTTTTCTTTTTTTTTAATTATGTTGGAGTTTCTTACATCAGACATTAAGAACGTGCCCGCTCTTTTAAGCAACAAACTCATATGGGCCTGACCTTTTAATATTGGATGGGCCAATCAGGGCCTATTAACATCACCATTGTTCTCATTTTCATGCTTCAGTGTCGAAAGGAGCCGGCCGGCTTCATGTTACACGTGTCTGTTTCCCTTTTTTTATTAAAAAACACGTAAAAAAAAAGGGTAAACGGCCAAAAAATGACTCATAGAAAAGAAAATTTACATTAGACAAAGTAATTATCAATTTTTTTTATCCGAAAAAATTTAGGAGTAAATGATTTACAATCCTTTAAATTTTTAAAGCGTATTTATCATTTATTAGTAAAAAATTATGAAGTTTAAATTTAAATGTTTTATATGCAAATTTTAAATTTTAATTACTTACGCTAATTTTTATTAACATAGATAATTTTGTCAAATTATTATGTTACTTACACTTACATATTGTCATCGGCTAATCAATTTTATGTAATTCAAAATATATAAAAAAAAAATTAATATAATAATTGATATATTTATATTATATTTATTTTTTATTAAATATATATGATATAAAACTCTTATATTATATTATATTTATACATCAAAATATAAAAGATTTTTTATTTTTATTAAGTTCGTATATAATTTTTTCTAAAGTTTTAGGTATTTTTTAAATAGGTTTTTATTGTATTAATTTAAAATTATCAGATCTGTCATTGAAAAGATATAAAATATAAAAATAAAATAAAATGGATCATCCTCTTCGTGCAGAATACGGGTTCGACCTTTTACTATCCTGGGAGAGAGGCAAAAAGTGTTTGGTTACAAAGATAGGAGAGGAAAACTCTTCGGTTTCGAGAAATGATAACGCGGTCTAAACTCGTAGAGCAACTCAGAGGTTACCAGATCCGATCTCAAAACAAGTGCCCTGCTCTTATCTTCTTCTCTCCCAAACCGCATATCACTTCCTGGTACCTTTTTTTTTTTTTTTATCTTTTCGTTTTCATTTATTTACTATTTTTTAATATTTGACGTGTAAATTTCTCATTTTTTGCATGCTTTAGTACATGATTGATTATTTGATCGATTTTAATCAGAAAGATTAAAATTTTTCATGTTTTTCTTGATAAAGAGAGTAATTTGATTCTCGGGCCATATTCAGTGTTAGACTTAATGAAAACTGAGGTGTCTATATTCGATTTGCATTTCTATGATCATTTTGCTGGTATTAACTAATATTAAGTTGAACACAATGAGAAATTCTGCATGTTAAGCTTCTAAGGTGGATTATTGGGTCATGCAAGCAGTTAAGCTTGTGGAACATTGTCGATTCGAACGTGTTTTTTCCAAGTCTGATTGAGGATTAGGATGTTCTTCAAATGCATTGGTGTCGCTTGGAGCTTGCAACAGATTATTGAATCTTGTTTGGAATGCTACTGTTTTATCCCAAGGTTAGTGTTTGAAGTGGAACTAATCTTGTGGAAGTGAGAGCATATATGAGTCACTGCTGAAACTGTAACAGTTGAGTCACAAAGCGACCATAGAATGGCTTTTGAAGTTATAGCATTTTGGAAATTCTAGATGTCACGAAACAATTAGTTTGACAACAGGGATTACCTTAATTGCGAATTTGGGATGGCTAAGACTTAGATTTACGCTGAAACACGAGTCCTGCTCGATGATTTTTCTAGTGCTTTTAGTCATAGGCTGCTGATCCATCTTTCAATGGTCTGAAACATACAATTCCTTGCTTAATCTTCCCCACTCACCTCGGCTTTCCTCAGATGTCATCATAGATATAAAAATCTTGTGCCTGTACTCTTAGTGTTTATCCAGACAAAAATTCCTTCTGTGAACGTTGTAACATATCATGTCTCATTTTAGCATTTCTCTTGCATGCTTTGGATCTAAATTAAACTTTTACATGTTCTTGATGAGATTCTGTTAACTTCATGCAGGATTGATGTAGCTGTGGCTATTTTTTGGGCCTTTGCATTTAGTGTGTTAGTCATATTTTCCTATTTGTCCCTTTATTTTAGGCTCATCTGGCTTTCCTGTATCACTATATTCCTTGGCATTTTTCTTCCCATAAGCCTGAGAGGTTATAGGCAGGCTCTGGTCAAGGAGAGGGAGAGAAAATTTTTATTACCCTTGTCTATGTGAGCCTTTTTCTGGCACTGGCACTGAAAGTACTTTGACTGATATGAGCAGCCCATGGATGGCTTATTACTCAGCCAGCTAAGCATATTCGGCGCATTTGGACAGCTTGGAAATTGATCTCGGTACGTGAAGACTGTCACCTATCTTCTTTTAAAGTCGATGGTGCGTTTCTCGTTCATTTTTCAAAAATATAGACCAAGCCCATGGTAATTTGACAGACACTTTGAAACATTTCACAGTTCTACCAGGAGACATCTGCCAGTCATTTATCCATCAGTAGCCTGTAAAAATTCGAGGTCCAGGAAATTTCATTATTTAGTGTTCTATGTACAACTAAACAACAACAACAACAATTTTCCTGTAAAATTAGAACTAGAGAGAGAGCATTGAAAAAGAAAAAAAACCATTTCTAGATTGCATTGGCAAGGGAGACTGACAGAAACTTGTTTTTGTGATTTAGTTTACAATATATGAAATTTCAGTGTTCTTACTTCACAGTTCAGATTGCTGTACGAAAACTAGATAGAATATTAGAACCAAAATTGTCAAGCTTAGCAAGTACAGAGCTACTGTGTCCTTTTGCTTGTTTGTGTAATTTTCAGTTAACAAACATCCATACTGTCATGGTCCCCTAGGGGACCATTTCGTTCTGTTCACCTTAAATACGGCTCAATGTACTTGTTATCATGAGCAAAGGAGAAAAGTAAGAGAATAAAATTAAGTGATGGTAATGGGTGACAACAAAACAAATGATATGATTGCTCTTAATTAATGAGTATATGACCCTCCAACACATGCATTCTAAAGGAATGTTGGGGAGCTTCGCTTTTGTCTGCTAGTTGAGTAAGAACATTGCTGACATTTAGTTGTTGTATCCATTGATTTTAGTTTCTTTGATTTCATGGTTAAAGCCCTTTGTTAGGTTAAAATATCAATACTTTCTATCTTTATGTTTGACCTCTCCAAACTTTGTAGCTATAACTTGGAATTTGTTTTCTGATTTACCAACTGGCAGCTATTTGGTTGATATTCTATTACATCTGTATGAGATTTGTTTGTTAGATTGAAGCAGACTGGAGGTGCAAAACATGGTTAAACTGAAAGTTGGAATGATGTTCTTTCTTTTTTATTCTTTTGTGCTCTGTTTGGTGGGAAATATGGAAAGCGAAAAAGTTTAATCTAATGGTCGAGATTCGTAACATATGCCATTTTGTAGTTCGACCGTTAGATTAAAACATCCACTTTCTTTCCTACCAAAAGGAGTGTAAAGGTGCTGGAAGTATATGGTATATGATATTGTGATCTCATTCATGGTAACGTCATTTATGATTGTAGTCATAAACAATTTATGATGCTAATACTGGTGCATGGCCATTTCTTCTGTTGGTGAAAGGAAAAGGGAAGTTAGTGGCCCTGTAACCCTGCAAAGTGCCTTTATGGAAACATGCTATTGGCATGAAGTGGATATTTGGCATGACAGGATACAATGATGTGTTTTTGCCTATTGTGAAAGAAATCTCTAAGGCAGTCGCAGTTTAATCAAGGGAAAAAAGGTGTGAAAAGAAGGGCAAAGCCAAAAATGATCACCGAAATATTTCAGGAATTGTTGCAATAAAGAATACCTGATTTGTTTGCTAGATTTAACTATTTATATATTTATATTATGTAAAATATTAAAATTCGTATATTAATATTTTATTTTATACGAAAATTATATATTATAATTTATGTAAATATAAATATATAAAATATTTTTTTATTTTATTAATTTTTGATATAATTATTATTAAAATTTTAAATTATATTATTTTTATATCTTATATTTATATCATATTTATATCATATTATTATATTATATTTTAAATTATCATATTTGGTGCTCTTATCCTTTTCTCTAAACCATTCTCTGGTTTTGAATAAATGCAAAACCTCACTCTTCTTTTTTGACTTGTTGCCACATTCAAATTTTGTAGGCTTATAAACATGAATGATTACTTGATGCTTGAATTCGATACTTTGATCCATCTTATGAATCACGTTTTTTGGGACTATTCCTCGTCTTTTGAACTTTTCATCAAAGGAATCAAAACATTATCTGATAGTGAAAAAGTTTAATTTCACAACCTGTGCGCTCGATTAAAAAACAAATCAAGAAAAGGGGTTTTCAATTCTTCACCAATAAATCAAAAAACCAATAATGAAAACAGTCAAAGATTATGACATAAAGCTTACCAAAGGCCAAAATGTCATCATTTTTATTATCCCTTCAATTTTTTTCCTTGAGCATCGTGCTGCCACGTTTTTGCACTCCATCCCCGGCGCGAGCAATTATTCAGGTCCCTCTCTCTGTTCTCACAGTCAGGATGGATAATGGAGTTTGAAGCTTGATGGGACCCAAGTTCTCTTCTTCTTCTTCTTCTTCTTCTTCGAAAATTTCTGGTCGTGTTAGTCTAAAATTTCGCCAAGAAAATCTCAATCATGTTGATTATATAGGCATGGGAGAGAAAAGATATATATATATATATACATCAAAATTTTATTTGAATGAACGATAGAATTTATTTTGATAAAATTAAAAATAATAATAATAATAATAATTATTATTATTATTATTAAAAAATAATTTTTATAAAAAATTTATATTGAATAATTTTAAAATTGATATCTAAATTCAATTAATAATCCAATAAACTCACTCATATTGCATCACACTTGCAGTAAAATTCAAACTAAAATTAAGTTGGTCCAAATTTTTTTTCTAAAAATAAAATATTTTTTCGTATAGAGATGGATAGATAGTAGGACCAATCT